TCTGGGCATCTCTGCTTAGACTGCTGCCCCCGCGACCCGGTCCCGGATAAGCGGAAGAAAATGGATGGATGGATGGATGGATGGACACACCTGTCTATATAAGACCCTACAGCTCACAGTGCATGTCAGAGCAAATGAGAATCATGAGGTCAAAGGAACTGCCTGAAGAGCTCAGAGACAGAATTGTGGCAAGGCACAGATCTGGCCAAGGTTACAAAAAAATTTCTGCTGCACTTAAGGTTCCTAAGAGCACAGTGGCCTCCATAATCCTTAAATGGAAGACGTTTGGGACGACCAGAACCCATCTGTTTCGGATGCCTTCTGGGCGCCTTCCTAGGGAGGTGTTCCGGGCATGTCCCACGGACACGGAGAAGACCCAGGACACGCTGGAGGGACTATGTCTCTCGGCTGGCCTGGGAATGCCTTGGCATTCCCCCGGAGGAGCTGAAGGAAGTGTCTGGAAAGAGGGAAGTCTGGGCATCTTTGCTTAGACTGCTGCCCCCGTGACCCGGTCCAGGATAAGCAGAGGAAAATGGATGGATGGCATTTAATAAAACAGATCAGTTGCATCAGTAGCACATGAGAGGATGAGACAATGTTAACAATAAAAACACTTACATTATTTGGGCAGTTCACAAGGTCAAAGATTCTTTTAAAAAACACCACCGGTGATTAAAAATACATCACCCTACATACTCTCTCACTCACTCATTTTCTACCGCTTAGTCCCTGAACGGGGTCACGGGGGGGCTGGAGCCAATCCCAGCTGGCAATCGGACGAAGGCGGGGTACACCCTGGACAGGCCACTGTACATACTCTTTATGATAAACAACAACTTTATTTAGCTTTGCTGATTAGACATTAATACACTCCACCCATATCTGATTGTCTGAAATAATTCTGAGCCACTCAACTATTTACACATCCTCCAACAATGAGGTCAACATACACACACACATATACACTCATAAATAATTCTGACCATGGAGCCTTCAGCCACTGGTTCCACTTTTCCCACCAGATGTTGAACCTGGCTGCAGGTTTTAACAAGAGCATCAGTAAGGTCCAACACTGATGTTGGGTGAGGAGGTCTGAATCGCAGTCTTTGTTGACCGGGGCTGGGGTCACAGCTTTGTGCAGCCCACTCAGGTTGTTCCATTGTTGAGGCTCATCCCGAGATTTCACTGCTATAAAGTTCCCCTTTAACTATCGGTGTGTGCTACGCCATCAAGATTTCCTTTCACTACAAGGAGAGGGCTGTCCACATACTTTTGGAAATATAATATACTACTAACTGACAGAAGAGCATATAATAGAGTAATATAATGTAAAGAGCGACCTCTAGTGGAAAGCCTAATATCTGCAAACAGGTGACAATGTAGAGAATGACATTAAAAGGAAGCCAGATCAGTGACTTGATAATTATTAGCATTTTAAGTGCAACAATGAACATATAGAAAGTACCTAACTATGATTACTTGAGTACTTAACCTCATTAAAAATACACAATTTAAACTTTCTGTCAGTACATGAAGTTAAATTTCAGACCTACAACAGTGACATAACATGAACTAACTGCATTAGCACTGCCACATTCTGATAAACTTGTGCTTACTTTTCAAAGTTTTGCCTACAAATGTGTAAACACAATATCTGAAAGTATAACATTTTGTCAGATATTTCAGAGACAGCTGAAAAACCTGAGCCACACATGTTTTCTGTTCAGTGCAGTAACCTACATCTACATTTATGTACATATCTCAGCAGAGTTTCCAATGCGACCATCCAGCTGCAGTCCAGCATAGAGAGGCTGAGTGAATGTGATCTGGACTCTGTGGAGGAGAGTCATGATTTCAGAGACGCTGTAGAAGGACAGAATACCTGCTCTGTGATCCAGGTACACTCCTACTCTGGAGGACTGAGGACCTGACACTGGAGTTGTGATACTGTTATGTCTGAACTCATAACGGCGTTTATAAAAACCAAAGGCCCAAGATTTGTCATTATCTCCAAATCTTTCATTGACACTGTTACTGTCTTTGTATGTAACCACTACTGAAACCCCTCCCTCCCCTTTTTCCACCTCCCAGTAACAACATCCCATCAGACTCTCTCTACTCAGGACCTGAACCCTGCCAGTACATCTGTCTGGGTGACTAGGATCACTATAATATTGCTCTTCTGCCATTAGTGTTACTTTTCTGTTCCCTTCAGTTAATAACAGTCGTGGGTTCGCTGTGTTTGGATCCAGTGTGAGTTGACATGCATATATTAAAAATCCAGCTCTGGTCTGGGGTTCTGGTTGTGACAGTAAAACATCCACTTGATATACTGTCCGTGAGATGTGTCCCCATTCCTCATAGAGAATGTCCTGTAGTTGATCTCTGGCCTCTGAAACAGCT